TATCTCAGTATATTGACAGCATAAATCACACACAAAAACAAACGTAATATTGTCTCATGGATGTTAGCATTCACTTTTCATTTAGGTCTTCATCTTAGGTATTCCCTCAGCTCCCTCAATAAAGCTCAAGAACCCATAACTAAACCAGGAATGTTACTTTTATAACCCATATTATACTGTATATAATTTAGCATTCTCGTTAATATCAAAATGGAGGCTGCTTGAGAAACTATAGAAGCATATTTTAAAGCAGGATTTAGGTTTTTATTAGTTTGAGACATTTGATGGGTCTTCTTTCCTTAAAGTGATAGTACACCCTAAAATTAACATTTTGTGAAATTACTCAGCCTTACATCATTCCAAGCCTGCAGGTCTTGTTTTTTTCTTCTTCTGTGGAGCATAATAGAAGATATTCTGAAGATTTCTCTGTGTTTTTTGTCCGTACAATAGAAGTCAGTTGTTACCAAAATTCTTTGGATACAAACGTTCTTAATAAAAAAACAACCTTATTTTCTGTTCTGCAGAAGAATGAAAGTTATACAGGTTGGGAATTAATGAATGTATTAATTTTAAATGAAATAAATTAAAACCATTTTTTAAAATTATTTAAATTTTAGGACAGTACTAATATATTTTAAAATGTTTCATTTTGGATTTATAGGATTAAAGCAAAACCATTCCAAGTACCTGGCTATTGTTTATGCTTGGAATAGCATACTAGCATACTACTCTTATTATTCATGCAGTGTGCAGTATGCTAATTTAATACTTACATGACTTTTGCCAAAATGTGCAATATACAACAGAACACACACTGCACAGAAAACTACATCCCATAATGCAATACAACTGACTTGACCTTCCATCTCCAGAGTGATGGATGAATGAGAAATAATATAAATGTCATTTTTAATGTATGTTGTATATGCATAATTATTTTATCAAACTTCCAAAAGTGAAGGCATTTTCTGAAACCTTTTCTGAATACAACAACCTTAAAGGTATAGTTGACCCAAAAATGGTAATTGTAAATGTCTACTTTTTTTTTTTATACAATTAACGTCAGAGACATTTTTCAAAATGTCTTCTTCTATGTTCCACAGAAGAAAGTAAGTCACACAGGTTTAAATTTGTGGGTGCACTATCCCTTGGCACCACTGCATTAAACATGCACATAATAAGGTCATGTGACAGCACAGTATCATTCTACTATCATAGAATAATTCGCAGTTTAACAAAAAAGCAGTATAAAGTGTGAACGATGCAGAACACCAGTATTCCATCCAAGCAGAGCTGCTGTATTTTTCACACTCATACTCATTAAATGAAAATAGCCTCTGCTTGGATTTGTGGGTGAATGTCTATCATTAAGGGAAAGAGACACTGTGAGCTCTGCCAGAATTTTCAGTCTTTCACAACAACAAGTGCACAACGAATACAGAAAATTATGTGCAGAGGGGAGCTACGTTAGGACAGCGAGGTGACAATCGCATGAACTTTGCTGTCCAGCTGGACCGCACAACAGCGCTGAAAGGGCCAGGCCAGGGAAGCGACAGCTGCATTACATCAAATTGAGACACCGGATATTACTCTCTAGAAAAACAGTGAGGTCTTTATGAAACTAATAAGGTTGGGCGCAAGCACCAGCTGCCAGTCCAATCTCTACTGTTATGACTGGAATAGTGAACAAAGTGGCCTTCGACTGTCCATCTGTCCATCACGAATCACAGAGCTCGCAATACGGCAGCAGTCGACGGCAAAAGTTGACAGTCTTTCAAAAGGTTAAAAGAGCAATAAAAAAGTGTATGTGAGTGACACAAGGTGACGGTCACAAAGGCTGTAGAAATGCGGTGTCACTCAGAAACCAGGCTGCTGTTTGATAGTGCTACCCTTCTGCTCTCTCTCGTCATCATATACAGAAACAGCCGACGCTAACAACAGTCAGCTGTCAACTCGGTTTATCCTAAATGGCTGTTTTAAGTTGGAAAGTGCTCATACTATGCTGTTGGATGCAGCTCGGGGCAAAGCAAGAAAACTCACTTAACTTCAGAGGTGCTGGTGTGTGAAAACGGATAGAAATTTTTATTCTATTACAACACTATGAATCATTTTTTATTCTATGAGTAATTCTATTACTCAAAAATGAATAAAAGAACAGCACTCTGCCACAATGCTCTCAAACTCTATTTCAATAGTGGACAAAACAACGTTTTAACCCTTTCAGCCTTCGTCAGATAGCCCTTGTCTGGAAATTCCTTTTTCTGAGCAAAGACTGGGAACATCTTCAAAAAGAGTATCTTTTAAGATGATTCCTTTATAATCTTCCTTTGTGAATTAAAAAATGTGTTGCTTATTGCCACCTTTTTTGATGAAAAACTCACCAAATCTCATGAGAATGTCATCGGGTGGAGTGCAACACAAAACCAGTGTTACCACATGAAATGTTATGTGCGCATCCAAAACAACTTTAGAGCAGGTTCATGACCAAAATCATCTAAGAAGGCCTTCAAAAAACAAAAACAAAAGGACAGCATATTGTCACTATGCTCTCAAACTTTATTTTAATAGTGGACAAACAACATTTTAGCCTACCTTTTTAATTCTATTATCACCCTCAGTGGTCCCACACTTTATGTCTTTCATTCCTCTTCGAAACACAAGTGAACATATTTTTAATGAAACCTGAGAGATTTCTGTCCCTCCATTGAAAGTCCATTCCACCAAAATTTACGCAAACACATTTAAGCTTCCAGTTAACATAACTGATGTGCTCTGTGTGTATGTGCGTTGATCAATATTTATATGTGAATAAAAGCCTAAATTAAACCTGTCCATTATGTAAAGCGATCATGTCTCTTCAGAAGACTCGGATTAAACTGCTCAATTCACATGATTTGTTTTATAATCTCTTTATGGACTTTTTTAAGCGTCAAAGTTTCGGAATGGACTTTCAAAGGAGGGATAGCAATCTCTCAGGTTTCATGAAAAATATCTTCATTTGTGTTTAGAAGATAAACAAAAGGCATACAGGTTTGGAACAATACAAGGGTGAGTACATGATGACAGAATTGTGATTTTTGGGTGAACTATCCGTTTAAATGTCTGTGTGACACTCGCTTTCTGCTTACTAATGGCAGATGGCACACCTGCGAGAGCCCCCGCGTCATGTCGCAATAACAATTCAATCTACATCCAAACCTGCCAATAAAAATCACAGGAGCATGAAAGTGCTAATTAACAATAATTCCATCACAATTGGTTTAGCCCAGCGTTTCCCAAACTGGGGTGCGCGAGAGAATGATTTTGATGATCTGTGTGATTATCTTTCCATTTTTTCCCAACATTTCATATTTGTATATTTAAAAAAACTGATTTAAAACACCAAGCTCATAACATTATTTATGCTGTTGTAATTTTGCAGTGTAAATGCATTCATGCTACATTTCAGCTTCATTAAACAGGCCCGGGGCTACATGGGGCAAAGGAGGGCATGTCCCCCCCCCAGTTTTCTTAACGAACGTTAATTATTAAAACTGATAATAAGCTCATAACATTATTTATGCTGTTGTAATTTTGCAGTGTAAATGCATTCATGCTACATTTCAGCTTCATTAAACAGGCCCGGCGCTACATGGGGCAAAGGAGGGCATGTCCCCCCCCCAGTTTTCTTAACGAACGTTAATTATTAAAACTGATAACGGATAATTAATTGGAGGAGCATTGGCGCCCCGTCTGAGCACACAAAGTTGTGTTCGATTTACGCACATCGATCAGCGTCTGACTTGAAGCAGTGTATGCCATCAAAGTAGGCTACCGCAAGAGTGATTCGCAAGCAGACGGCTGATTACGGTCGTCGCAGTTTCTCCAGGGCAGCTGCACGAGCTCTGATGATGACAGCTAATTCACTATTAACCCAGACTCACTGCATTTCATGTCGTGCTTTAATAGTTTTACAAACTCTTTTCATGTTATTTTAATGCTATAGCATATTGTATAGTGTTTATCAAAATAAAACCGATAAAAAAGTGAATTTACACACAAAAGATAGGCACATTGTTCTACATTGTTCTCACTTTGACAACATTTCTGTCATTATTCTTAAAGTAATGTAAATTATGGTGGCCTGGATGAGACTCCCGGCCTGGCTGAAATTTTGTCCCAGATCGGCATTATATAATTTGTGAATATTTGTAAATATTTGTGGCTTGAAACAGCTGGAAAATTGAAAGTGTACTGCAGCTCTATGGATGTTTTTACCATTCAGATAGGGTTATTAAATTTAACTAAAATATTAAAAACATTTCTGTTAACTGAACTAAAGCTGAAATAAAATAACATAAATATAAACAATTCTATGAATCGGGAAAAACTGAATAAAACCACATACCTAAAATGAATAAGTAGGCCTATTTGTGAAATATATTTGACTTATATTTACAAAAGGGAAAAATGCCCTTTAAACAGGCAAAAAAACCCCTAAAAACCTGGAAATCAATTTAAATAAATTTTTGTAAGCAGTAACTTTAGTCATATAAAACGTAAACCAACAACAAAATTGTGGCCAGTGAAAATGCTGAGTGGCTAGTGATTTTGGAAAACCACTAGCCACAGTGGCTGGTGAGCAAAAAAGTTAATGTCAAGCCCTGTATACAGTGAATATTTGTATTATTGCAGTTATGTGACGTTTAAGAAATGTGGTGTTTAATGGAGTAAGGTGGTGGGGGTGCTTGACACGTGTCAAACGCTAGAAAGGGGTGAACGCTGCAAAAAGCTAGACTGAGTAAAATCTGAGTTTGCTTTCTACACGTGTCCGATTAAGCATTCTGATTGAGGATTGAGGAAAAAAACAATGTGCTTTTAGAGGATTTCTCCACCTTTACATCACATCTGTGCGACCGCGGCCAGGAAATCTCATTGTGTTCCTTGCAGACAGAAGCATAAACTCAGATAATGGCAAGTTTTACTGGCTGATAGGCTGGTGTGGCCGAGAGTTACTTTACCTGCCTTAGGCCATCCCTGCTGTTCTGCATGATCCGGAGGGCATAGTTCGAGCGCTGGCCTTTGCTGTTGAACTCAATGTGGCCTGTTAGACCTTCCAACTCTACCTATCCGGAAAGAGAGAGAGAGAGACACATGTTAACGCCTGGAGGTATCATGCGATCACAGCCACACAAGCTTTCAGTACTGTATTGATTTATAGAGCTATGTGGACGGCAGAGCTCCTCACTGGATGCATTCACACAATGCAGGATAGATCTATAGATCGCCGTATGTCATGCATAGGATGAAGCAGTAATGACAAGCTGATGGTCGTTAATCTTTAATGGCTGAGTAAGACACAGTCTCTCGGTTTCACAGATTTTGCTGAAGGCTGCAGTTCTGATGAAGGTTTGTGGGCCGCAGTGGTACAGAGAGCAAAAACTAAATTATGAATGGGCCTGCAGCGGCAGCAGGCGAGATGATTGGCAGTTCGTGGGCTCTCCCTGCGGTTCTTACCATCCTCAGGTAGTTCATCAGACTTGTGCCGTGCTCCCAGATCTTAGAGGACTTGCAGGAGAGCTGAGTGGCTCCTACGTTCTGGCTACGGTTCAGCTCCTGCACGGCTGCCACCACCGTGTGTACTGCATCAAACAGCAGCGCTGACGAAAGCTGGAACACACACACATAAGAGTCAACACGTAGACCGAGCAAACAGAAAGCAGTACAACCCAACTGTAGGCCACTAGCTGAGACAAATACACACTTCATGGCCAAAAGTATGTTGACAAGTTTTTGATTAGCATGTTTGGCTATTCAGCCATACAAATAAATATCCATTTGGCAGATGCTTTTATCCAAAGGGATTTAATGGCAAAAATGTATAGCTGTATGTAAATAAAACCCATGAACTCGCTAGAAAATATACCAAAAAACCACAGACCATACATCTGTTTTTAATTAAATGTTTTAAATTAGTCTGTAAAGTCTGTAATACTGAATCTAAAACCATTCAAAAATTTGGGCTGGCTAAGATTTAAAAAAACATTTTTAAGTCTCTTATGCTCATCAAGGCTGCGTTTATTTGATTTAAAAAAATACAGTAAAAACAGTAATGTTGTGAAATATTATTACAATTTAAAATAATTGGAAAACTGTGAAAACATAAAAATAATGTTTTCTATTTTAAAACATTTTAAAATGTAATTCATTCCTGTGATGGCAAAGCTGAATTTACAGCAGCCATCATTCCAGTCTTCAGTTTCACGTCATCCTTTTGGATTCAAATATGCGGGTAATTCTAATTGGTGCTCTAGAATCATTTCTAATTATTACTGTTGAAAACAATTTTGCTGCTTAATACTTTATGGAAACCAAAATACTTTTTGGGACAATTTTTTGGAAATATAAATATTTGTATAATATAAACTTATTATATTGTATATATACTATTATATATATACGTATACCTCTGCGGTTGTAAAATTAAATGCTCAAAAAAGCACATGGATAGGGGTGTTTGGGTGTCTGCAAGCATTTGGCCATGTAGAACATCATTAAATCATTCAGACATTTCATCGTTGATCATTGTGATACAACCACCACTTCCTTTGCCCCCACAGCCCCCTGGAACTGAATTACTGACCACTTTAATTACATCAGATGGTGTGTTAATGCACTGCAGCAAAGACTGTGGAGTTTCCTTTTCCTCTGACATCCATTACGGTGCTAAAGCTTTCTGTAATGAGGATATGTTATGCTGCATTATGGAACAACACAGCAGCTTAGAGGAGGTGGAGATGTACGTGTGTGACACATGTCTGGTTTGCTATCCTTGTGGGGACTCTCCATAGGTGTAATGCTTTTTCTACTGTACAGACCATATATTCTATTGCCCTACACCAACCCTACACCTAAACCTACCCCTTACAGGAAACTTTCTGCATTTTTAGATTTTCAAAAAACTTCATTCTGTGTGATTTATTAGCTTGTTTACCCGTGGGGACCTCAATTTAGGTCCCCACCGTGACACGAGTCCCCATGAGTCTGTGTGTATTCAGGTTTAAGTCCCCACCAGGATATATAAACCAGTACACACACACACACAAACACTCACTCTCACACACACATAAACACTCACTCTCACACACACACATAAACACTCACACACACACACACTCACACACACACACACACAC